TATGAACAATATGTAGACTAGAAGACTTCTGGGAGATAAGATTTGAGATCTTCACCCTTCTACTTCATGGGTGTGCTATTACAATGGCACATGCAGTTTATGTCCTACTTGCAATTGAGCAAGATACCCTAAAGGCAGTAATTTAACAACCAGTTCTCTACCCTAATAATTTCTTCCAACAACCAGTTTGCCAAACTGCTCAAAAAGTTAATCGGTTCTCCCAAAGTGGTGCGAACTGGCTGAATCCCACCACTGCCTAAAGATAAAGGTAAAGGTTCCCCTGGCACGTATGTGCTAGTCGTTCCTGACTCTAGGGGGCAGTGCTAATCTCTGTTTCAAAGCCGAAGAGCCAGCGCTGTCTGAAGACGTCTCCGTGGTCATGTGGCCGGCATGACTAAATGCCAAAGGTGCACAGAACGCTGTTACCTTCCCACCAAAGGTGGTCCTCATTTTTCTACTTGAATTTTTTACATGCTTTTGAACTGCTAGGATGGCAGAAGCTGGGACAAGTAATGGGAGCTCACTCCGTTACACAGCACTAGGGATTCGAACCGCTGAACTGCTGACCTTTCGATCGACAAGCTCATCATCTTAGCCACTGAGACACCACATCCCCCTTAGATACCCTACTAAGAGTCTACATTAATCATTGCAGCATTTTCAATTTGTATGTGTTTTTAATACTAATTAAGCAGGTTCACAAGGAGAATATATGGACTGTATGAAAATCTTATTCAGTATAAATAATTCATGAAGGCCATGGAGATTACTATTAGCCTTGATAGCAATGTGATCACCTCTGAAGGCCATCTGCTGGGGGACTTGTGGATTTCCTTGTGCACTTGGTTGTCCACTGTGAGAATAGACTGCTGGATTAGATGATCCATTCTTCTGCTTACATTCTTCTGTGAGGGTGTTAGATAACAACCAGCCTGATTACTAAAAGTTCTTTAAATGCTGGACTGCTTCTGGCCATGTTTCTGGTGATCCAGTGGTGGGTTGCCCCCGGTTCAGACCGGTTCGCAAGAACTGGTAGTAAAACCGGCGGGAGGCTCCGCCCACTGACCCGGACATCATCATAGGTGATCTGCGCATGCGGGCGCGATGCAAACCGGTAGTAAAGGTAAGTAGAACCCACCCATTATGGGTTCCCATTATACAGTGGCTCAAAAAGAAATCATTGTACCAGGGGAATATATGTGTTTTTCAAATGCTCTCCTATCAGGAGCTGATTTACATACTACATGGATGTGGTGATGAACTAAATATAGGCGAACGCACTGACAGTTAACATATGGAAATCATTTCAAATAGCTAGACCATCATATGTTAATTGAAATCATCACAACCTGGCAAATCAACTCTTGCTATCATTTCTTTTCTTTGAAAAAAAAAAGAGAATAGTCTCTGGCTTTGAGCCAACCAAGACCTGCTTGCATTCATGCCCAATAGTATGTGCACATCAACATTTATTTGCTTACTGTCTTAGCAACCCTTGACAGCAAGCTGCAAACTTTAATGGAATCTGAAGGTTTAGTAGAGGGTTTATTATGTGGGCAGTGTCTTGATAAATCCCCCTGCAACTGTTCAAGTGATGTGCTTACAGATGGATCTTTGCCATATATGTTGTATCGGTAGAGTGTAGCCCAGCTTAGACAGAAATTTAATAATAAAAATAACCCTCCTCTTAGAAAGTTCCCCTTGGTCTACTTCCTACTACAGAATAAGTCATTGACACATTCCAGCAATATGATTATAGACAGCTTGATTTTTGCACTGAGACACAGATGGGGACAGTTAAGACAAAAAAAAAAAAAAAGCCATCTGGACAAGCTGGAGATGGAAAAACAAAAAGAATGTGATTTGATTTGCGTATAGATGTGTATACTGTACATACATAAACCTGGCAATCAATATTCACCTTCCCACAGCAGCTTTTGGGAAATTAGTGAGGAATGATCAAGTATTGATGTCTGTTAAAGAGCATTTCCTTGTACTAAAAGGGCAAAGTTGAATTTTGGGCTGCATAAGGAAGTCTTCCTAATTCTGGAAATGGATAAAAGGAATATATTTGGTAGCATACAATTATATGGATGAAAAGAATAACAAAGAATTGTCACCCATTGCTCCCAACGTCTAGCATTCCTAGCAGAGATGAAAGGTTGGCTAGAAAAGACTGCAAGAATGAGACAGAGCAAAATGTACCAGCTGTGGAAGATACATCCTATGACTCAACAAGTTGGACACAATAGGATTCGTGCATCACTAATTAGCCAAGCTGAAGATAGAACAACCTTGTAGTGAGGTTTCCATTCCTAGCCAAGCTTTGGCAATGACATTCCAGAAGTTTTGTGGCTTAGACCATGCCAACATTGCATATAAGGGATTGGAGTCCTTCTTTGCCTCTTATAAGGGATTGGAGGCAGTGGTGGGTTTCAAATTTTTTTACTATCGGTTCTGTGGGTGTGGCTTTGTGGGCATGGCATGGCATGGCTTAGGGGCATGGCAGGGGAAGGATACTGTAAAATCTCCATTCCCACCCCACTCCAGGGGAAGGATACTGTAAAATCTCCATTCCCTTCCCACTCCAGGGGAAGGTTACTGCAAAATCCCCATTTCCTCCCGATCAGCTGGGACTTGGGAGGCAGAGAATAGATGGGGGCGGGGCCAGTCAGAGGTGGTATTTACCGGTTCTCCTAACTACTCTGATGGTCATTCGAAAAATCCTTTCTTAACAAGCACCTAGAAGCCAAGAAGAACATATATGCCAAATTTCAAGTTTGTAGGCTTTATGGTTCTGGAAATTTCGTGATGATGTGTGAGTGGTATTTCACTTTTATATATATAAATAAAATGGGCAGCGCTAGCTGTGAAGACTGTCACAAATTCCCCCATGTCAACAGCTGCAGAACCGTTTCTATAACCTTAGTGAACTTTTAGTGGACAGTCTTTGCCATTTAGTCCTTGTTTATGATTAATTCCTGCTCTTGAGACACAAATAAGTTACCGTTTTTTTAAAAAAATCAATAGATTTTTTTTAAAAAAAATCTATGGTACTGTAAAAATTTAGCACCCACCCCTCTCTTAAAAGAATGAAAAATTTTAGGAAATATTTAAAAAGGCAGGATAAAATATTTCCCCTAACAGAGAAATAAAAAAAATCAAGGGAGACAGAAACTCAGAGCCCTGGCTCCCTGCCCCCAAGCAGATACTGAGCTGGGGCAGCTTTTAGAAATGCAGATTTGGTAATCCATTATTCCCTGCAGCAAAGTCTGATCAAAGGAGTTTAGCCCTCACCCAAGAGGCAACATAGGCAAAGTCATTAAGCCATAATAGGAATTGCCCAATACAAAACCCTTCATTGCATCATCTCAGTTGCACCACCCCCAGCAAACTTCAATGAAGCCTGGGAGCTCAGATAACCTATAGAGCCAGCTATGACTCCCTACAACTGCTAATCGAATACATGTTCTTGCACAGGAACAGGAGGTTCAAGTGCAAAGCCCAAGAGAAGGTATAAAACTCCCCCTCTCTCAACTCCATGTAGTCAGCTGCACCAGAACCACAAGCATGTGATCCTGTTCAGCAATAAATGGATCCTCTTTCCAATCAACCGCCAGCCTCCATTTTGTCTCCAGTGCCTTTCTCCCAGCTTGGAACTGAACCAGATGGATATTTCTTCCAATAGTACTAACAGTCTGAATGAATCTTTTTTGCTTTCAGCTTGACTGTATTTTATTTTGCCCGTCATTGAAACTATGTTTCCACAAGATGGCAGCATAGGCCCACAAAGATAAGATGGTTGCCACACAGCAGTAGAATAAGGGCAGGCACTCCTCTGTCCTACCTTAAAAACTAATAAAATAAGTTTGCATAGCAAACGGATTTAGTGCAGAACATACTGGCTTTAATAGCTGACCAATAAGAAACCTTTTCCTGCAAGGCATTTATTTAAAGATGGATTATCTCTTTAACTGTACTTCCCCCCCACCCTATCCAACAGCGAGCAGAAAGCAATGGATTAGCAACCAGGAACATGATTCTAAACCATCTCATTTATGTATTTATATCTTGCCTTTCCAGCAGCAAATTGCTGTCAAAGGAGCTAATAGCTGAAAGAGTGAAATAAAAACAAAATTAAGAATACCTCTTGCTTCCTTTAAGCAAAACAAGCAGCAATAGAAAGTGCTATTAAATACAAATAGAGCAGAATAGTATCTTTTAGCTTGAAGGAGTTTCCCTGTTCCAGGGGTGCCTGCTACTCAAATTCTGTGTTTATATCTCAAAACCTCAGTGGGTTCCAAGGGACGCTTACTATAGATTCTTAATCAAGTCTTGAAGTTTCCAATATCACAATCCACACGTCTCGTGACTGTGGTGAGGTTTGCTACAGAAGAAGTTATCTATTTCCTTGCACATTATAGCAGGGTTTTCAACAGTTTGCTACGAGTAAAACAGGATTTTGAATATGGAGGTAAATGGAAGGAAAATAGATGCAGATATACTTAAAGATTGGCAAAGATGCAAACCAGAGTAAATGGGTTGTCCCACTTGATTTGACCAAATCCCATTAAATCCAACTACTTACCTACCTACCTAATATCCATCCTCTGATTTAAGAGTAGCAAACAAATGTGACCTAGCCAAGTTTCAGAGAAGTTTGTCTTTCAATACTAGACTTTTGATTGACCTTTTAAAAAGCTTCTTGGGGGTGCCTTTGGAATCTATGACAAATGTATTCTTCCTTTAAAAACTTCCAGATCTGAAGCTGCAATCCCACACACGTTTACCATAGAGTAAGACCCACTGAATTAAATGGAATTTTTTCTGACAAATATAGATTGTAGGATCAGACTGTTTGTCTCAATGAAAACAAAAGCTTGAATTGTAAACTATTCAGACAGCTCAGCTTGTAGAAGTTAAACATTGAAAAATCAGCCAAAGGTTAAAGCTAAATAAGATTAGAAGGTTTTATACTTCTTCAATAACTTTACCCTTACCTGTTAAGTATTTTCTATGAAGCATAGGCTAGTTGCAGGCTGTTGAATGTTATCTTCTTTTCCAGTTTACTATTCTCTCTTTATTCTGTAACATGTAGTTAATAAATACTGTCCATCAGCACTAATATTAAGTGTTACCAATTCCCACCTAGATAGGATTAAAAGATAAAGAAGAATGTTAGTTAAGCAGAGAAAAAAAATTAACTGCATTTAACTCAGCTGCTATAATTAACTGCCGACACAGTTGGGTAGGTGAAATTTATTCCATGAAAAAACAACAACACATCCTTCTGTCCTACATTTCTGCATTTCTTTAACCATGATTGAGAGCCTGGATCTGTTTAACTGCATTTCCCAAGCATATTATTTGGCTGGTAAATTACCTAAGCCTGACGTTTTGATCAATACAATCATTACATCATGCTGAAAATCAGCAGAAGGGAGGGAGGGCAGAAGGAAGATAAAATAAAATACTTTATCTCAACAAAGGTTCCTGTTCAGCTAGGTGCACAAATACAGTTTCCACTCACACAATCACATGTTCATTTTGACACTGGCAATTACATTTACATTTATGGTCAACAGTTTCTTTGGGGCATCCTGCATAGACAAAATAAGACACATACACAAGGGCAAAAATGAAGTATAGTTCTGCAAGCATTTTTTTGAAATTCTCCAACTGTATAAACTACTGCTTGTTCTCACATTCTAGAACAGTGATGGCAAACCTTTTTGGCACCGAGTGTCCAAACTGGAATGCGCGTGCATGAGTGTGCATTTGCACGCTGACCAGCTGGTCTTCACGTGCGCCGGAGCACCAGAAACCCAAAGACCAGGTGTCTGGCGTGTACATGCCTGTGTCAGCGTTCCAAATTATGATCTCCTCCAGTGCTGACATGAATGAGAGAGGGACAAGCTTTGCTTTAATGCTGAGATGAACTTTTACCTAGTTCTCTGCTCTTTAGTAGATAGCGTTACCTGGGTGATAGAGGGAGGGGGGGAATTCCTGTGAAAAGAAAGTGCTTGGGATGAAGAGATGGATCTGCACGATGGCCAATGAGACATTGGGGTTGAAGAATGGAAAGGGAGGGGTTTGGAAGGAGGTGCCAGTTTTCGTTGCACAAAGAGTTCAGGGATGTTGTTCTTTCTATTCTTAAATAAAAAAAAAGATTCATTAGAGACCTTGCGTTTGAGAATGAAGTTTATTTAAGATAGCAGCGAAACCTGACAGCCTGTTTTTTGGCTGTTTTTGGGGCCATTTTTCAGTCCATTTTCAGGCTGTTTTCCAGTGCTCCAGTGCCTGCGAAGACCAGTTGGAAACCAGAAGAGCAGCTGACGATGGCACGCATGGCCACAGAGAGGGCTCTGCGTGCTACCTCTGGCACGCATGCCATAGGTTTGCCATCACGGTTCTAGAAGATAAACTGTGTGCATGTAATATTGCAATGTCTGGATACTGTGATTATATTTATTTATTTTTGAAATTTATATAGCCATCCACTTCACACACACAAAAAAGGACTCTGGGTGGCGTATGATAAATTTGAATATAAAGAAGTCTGAAAGTTGATATATGCTAAATTTGTAAGTACACATTTTGGGAGTTGGTACTGGGAGGAGAACAAAATACCTTTCAGCAAAGAAGACAGATTAGGAGATTCCATCCAAAATACTTTAAAAATTAATTTATCTCAGCTAAATTTGTCCGTGGATTACACAATCCTGGTCTAGTGAAACTACAAAGATTGATACACTCATTCATTATGTGCTATGAAGCAGTGGTGGGATTCAATTTTTTTTTACTACCGGTTCTGTGGGTGTGGCTTGGTGAGTGTGTCATGGCATGGTTGGCGTGACATGGCATGGTCGGCGTGGCTTGGTGGGCATGGCAGGGGAAGGATACTGTAAAATTTCCATTCCCTCCCCACTCCAGGGGAAGGTTACTGCAAAACCCCCATTTCCTCCCAATCAGCTGGGACTCGGGAGGCAGAGACTAGATGGGGGTGGGGCCAGTCAGAAGTGGTATTTACCGGTTCTCTGAACTACTCAAAATTTCCGCTACCGGTTCTCCAGAACTGGTCAGAACCTGCTGAATACCACCTCTGCTATGAAGTCAGGGTCAGCTCCTAGAAACCACATGGGTAGATATTCTTCTATGATAATCTGTCCCTAACTTGGTCATTCAGGTTTTCCAACACCCATCACAACTGTAACTGAATCCATCAACTTTGCTGCTGGTCTTATTTTTCTTTTCTTTCTAGTAATTTGTGCCTCACATTCATTTGTCCAATGATCTATTTGTTTGCTTTCTTGGTTGTTCATGGGATTCTAGTTCAAAAATCTTAATACTCTTTTTATTCTGTTTCTTCAAAGTCCATATGAGGGTTTTAGCACCTGTCTAATTCTGTTGTAAAATATAGCAAACACTGTGGTAAAACTAAGCACGGCTTTTTCGTTTGATGCAGAAGGAATCTGTAGCAACCCAAATGCTCTGGACTCCAAGTTCCATTGTCTCAATCTACATAACCAACAATAATAATTTTGGGATCTGTAGCTCCACAATGGCTGGAGGATCACAAATTCCTTGACTAACTATAAAAAATTAGTATCTTCCAACCACTGTAAACATTGATTCAGAGGTACCTTGGTACTCATTGTTAATTGGTTTTCGGAGGTGTGAAGAGTACCAAAAACAATGAGTACCAAATAAATTTTTCCCATAAGGAATAATGTAAATAAATTCAATGCACATTTTAAAACAATATGTAAAAAGATAGGGCTCTATATTATTACTTTACATAAGAAACAAACCAAAAAAATTAATAAATAGGTTAAATAAAATTAAAACATCACTTTCCTGTAGTGATGAGGAAAAAAAGCGCAAAAATACACAAAATAATCACAGAAGAGAAGATAATTCTGCAAGGGGATGTGCACAGGGCAAGAGCTATTGCATGAGTAATGTACCTTTGGTTTCAGCTAAAAAGGGTAGTGAGTCATGAGGCAACCCACACCGACAAGTTCTAGCTTGTGCATCGAGTACCAAATGAACAACGAGTACCGGGACAAAATATCCTCATCAAAATGTTTAGAGTACCAAATTCAGCAAGTGTCAAATCAGTAGAGTACCAAGATGTGACTGCAAAAAACCCTTTTGCAATAAATCATTCTTCCTGATTTCAAGGTATCCAGGTTATTAATCAATAGCTGAATTAAAAGAATCAATAGTTGTCTCTTGCTGGATCAAACCCATGGGAAATTAAGGGGGGGGAAAACCCTTTTTGATTCTGTTATGTCCTTATAAGGACATCAGCTGGGGGATTGGTTACTTCCACCGGCGGGAAGTTTGAACAACTGTCATTGGCCGGCTGGCTGGCCCGAACAGAATATAAGGAGGCTCGGGAGCCACTGCCAGCAGTCTGTTTTACTATTCTAATAAAGTGCTGAACGGACCAGAGCTGAGTCGCGTTTCTTTCCGGCGCCGATCTAACAGATTCATACTTCAGAGTCTACTGGAGTGAGCAGCCTTGCCAATTTAATACAATAAGTAAAATAAAATACTCCCACTGGGGTACTGAATCTGAGTTAAACCAGACTGAAAATGGGGTGGTGGGACAGCAGAATCAGTTCTGCCTGAAAATTGTAGGCTTTTCACTTGCAATAGCTGATGCACCATGATCTTCTGCATCTTATGTCACTGATGGCCATATTTCACATTTAGGATAATTAAGGATTATTGCTAACTGGGCTGCATAAACCTATGACTATACTATTTCAAAAGTGGTAAGATTAGCAGCGAGAAAGAAAGAAAAAACTCAAGAAAGTTTAATTGCTTAAGAAGCTGCTGAGCTTGTATTCAGCAGAATTTTGATTATGGCTGATGAGACAGAAAGAACTGGTGCCGATAATGGAGGTTTTGACTTTCACTGTTTGCAATCATAGCCAATCCAACTTGAGTAACATATGCATAGACCAGTGATGTGGTTACATGGATTGCTGATATTACAGCTGCATTGCAGTACACATTTTTTTTCCATGGTAACCAGCAGGGTACGCTGAAACAAGATAAGCAGACAGCACTTGTCACTTAGATCTATTAATTCAAACAAAACCATCTGCTTCGCAAAAGAGAGAACAACTCTCATACAAGCCACTCCTTATGGCTTGCTGTGTGAGAAGAGACCTGAAACATCATGTAACTCAGCACTGAGGCACCCTTTCATTACTCTTAGGCAGATGGCGCAGCAATGACACATCTGTACAAATAACTGTTTAAAATCATGATGGTGCGCTGCTGGGGGAAGACCATCTTGCTGGCCTCTGAGTATGATTTATGCTGTGCATTTCCAAAAGTTGGGGCATTAGTTTTCAACTTCAACTTTTTCACTGCTGCATGTGACAGAATAGTTACGGCAGTGCAGGGACTCTGAAAGAAGCATAGAATAAGGCAAAGGTAAAGGTTCCCCTCGCACATATATGCTAGTCGTTCCCGACTCTAGAGGGCAGTGCTCATCTCCAGTTCAAAGCCGAAGAACCAGCGCTATCTGAAGACTTCTCTGTGGTTATTTGGCCGGCAGGACTAAACGCCAAAGATGCACGGAACGCTGTTTCCTTCCCACCAAAGGTGGTCCCTATTTTTCTACTTGCATTTTTTACATGCTTTTGAACTGCTAGGTTGGCAGAAGCTGGGACAAGTAATGAGAGCTGACCCTGTTACGCGGCACTAGGGATTCAAACCGCTGAACTGCCGACCTTTCGATCGACAAACCCAGCGTCTTAGCCACTGAGCCACCACGTCCCTAAGCATAGAATAGGCTAGACTAATTCTTAACCTGTTCAGGAATTAAATCCTCTGGGGTTAAATATGCATAGGAAAGTTTACTTAGGAAAGCTGCATATCCATACAAGGAGAAGAATCTTTGTAGCTGGACAACAGTAGTGAGGAAAGGAAAACCAATGCTTTCCCCCTTTGGAGCTGTTTTCTTGGGACAAAAGATACAATTCAGGAGGAAAGCAGAGGTGCTTGTGTTCAAACAATGGCAGGCTTAGCCGAAGAATGACATGGAACAATTCAGCCCCAGAGTTCAGTTCTTTATTTGCTTACACACAATAGACAGAATTTTGCCAGACTAACTCTTACTACTCTCTCCCTAAATGGTTATACATTGGAAAATTCTAGGGAGTGGCTAATCCCAACTCTCTTCCTCTGTCTCCTATCCAGCTCCAGACTGTGCTGCTTTTTCTCTCATGGCCCCTTCTTCCTGGGAACTCCAGATCCCCACCACCACCACCACCGGGCCAGGCACCATCTCTCATGTCCAAGTTGCTTAACTTATAAACTGGATGTCAGCATCCCAGCACTGACATATATAAAGAGGGGAGAAGCTTGAAATTTTGCCTACTAAATCCCTTTGAAGATTCTGTCTCCTCAGAGGTGGGAGAGGGGGAAGACATTCTTGTGACCTGATGAAGAAGAGATCAGGAAAGTGACTTGGAAGATAGCCAATGAGAAGCAGAGAATTGGGGATCGGAAAGGGAGGGATTGGGGGGCAAAGGTCAGTACTGACTGCGAAAGAGCCAGGATCAGATCGCTGTGCTCAAATAAAGAGAAAATTTCCTTAAAGATCGGCAGTCTGGAAATTTATATATTTTGAGATAGCATCGAAACCTGACACTGAATTAATCCAATATCTGGGTTTACACCATACAATGAACAAAAACAAAACTCAAAATGAACTCTCTGGCTGCATTTATAATCTTCCCCTTCATGCAGGACATTGAGAGACATCAACCAATGCAAACCTAACCAAAGATTTAAAAAAAATCTCATCAACATCACTATAAAAAGATAATGTATAATGAGTGCTCACAACAATAATTACCTTCAAAATGGTAAGCATGATTCAGCTAGCGAAGTCTCAGGAATACAAAAGAGGATAGGGCGTCTGTCTGTCTATCACATCTTCTACTGAACTCTGGGGAACTCCCAATCAAGAATTAAAACCCCATAAAAATAATATTAAAACTATTAAAGCCATAAACACTTAAAAGAAAATGTGATGCCAAGTAAAGCTTTCAACATGCCTCAGCGGTGAAATCCACTTACCTTCACTACCGGTTCGGGAATGGGAGCATGTGTGTGCGTGCCTCTTCTGTGCATGCGCAGAGGGTCAAAAATGGGAGGTAATGACGTTCCAGCAGGTGGGCGGAGCCTCCCACTGCCAGCACTACCGGTTCGTGTGAGCTGGATAGATCTGGCTGGATTTCACCACTGACATGCCTCCTATCCCAGTGCTTGAGGATCTTCAGTACTTTATGAAAGGCTAGGAGGATCAAGTCTTGCTGAACTTTAACAAAATACACTAAATTGTAAACTCACCCAACAGCCTGGATTCACATAGCACTGACAGACAGACTTCTTTACTTCCTCTTTTATCGCTTCAGATATCAAGACAGACAGAAAAACAAATACCCCAAACATCAACTTTAGCATTTATATGAATACATCTGGTGCAGGGGTGGGTTCTACTTAACTTTACTACTGGTTCTCAACGGGGCCACATGCGCGTTCTTCTGCGCATGCACAGAAGCTTCTGCACATGCACAGAAGCATTTTGATGATGTCGGGGTTGATGGGCGGAGGCTCCCACCGGTTTTACTGCCGGTTCTATAGAACCGGTGCGAACTGAGGGCAACTCACTACTGATCTGGTGGGTCAGTAGATGACCTATTCCAGCAAGTTGTGTGAACACAGCCAAAGAAAATTTTAATAGAATTATGATTGCTGGAAATTGTGACTTCATAAAATGCTTGTTACTTTTGTGTGGATTTAAGATGTCAAACGCAGGTTAGCTACTGGTCTTTATAATTTGAACCACTTGTGGGAAAGAGAGTATATAATCCCCATATAAAATATTTAAAAACATTAATTTTCCTCTGCTTCTTTCTGATGGTAGTAAATTGTCTTCCAGCTTCCTGATTTATGCAGTTGGTTGTTCAGCTTTTATTATAAAGTTTGGAAATATATTTATTTTTGGTTCCGCTCTCTCCACAAGCACAGATACACTTGAATATAGATGCATTAAGGAAGAAAGAATTGGAAACTGATATTTCCAATCAACAATTAAACAAATGCACTGTATATTTTTTCTCTCAAGGTTACCTAGATAAACTTCCAGAAAAATATATCTTTTAAGCGTATTTATCAGAGAGAAAATCCCATCAATTTCTCACCATATAATGAATTCTATAAGCTTAGCTGTCATTGGACAAAGAAGTATTTTCTTGGTTTGTCAATAATTATCATGGTCCCAATGAAATTTTAACAAAGCTTGGAAAAAAAATTTCTATTGATGATTTGAAGGAATCTGCCTGGAAATGAAGATTCAGATGAATCATATACTTAACATTCTCTTCTAATATTTGTAGAAATATGACTCCTGAACCTGAGAATAATTTAAATCCAACATTTTAAATCACACAGACCTTTTAAATTATGACTCCTAACCTAAGTGACAATTGTCCATATTTATTTATTTATTATTTATTTTATTTATTAGTCATATTTCTATGCCGCCCACTCTCTGAGAACTCTAGGCGGCTTACACCAAAGACAGTATACTAAATAGCATATTGCCCCCAACAATCTGGGTCCTCATTTTACCCACCTCGGAAGGATGGAAGGCTGAGTCAACCTTGAGCCGGTGAGATTTGATCTGCTGATTTGCTGAACTAGAAGTCAGCTGATGTAGCTGCAGTACTGCACTATAACCACTGTGCCACCTCGGCTCATTAGCTGTTAGCTGGAACTGTAGTGTAAAATATCAAAGACTTCCGTTGAAGAGATCTGATTTTCTTTTCTTATAAAAACCCCATTAAAATCATATTTTCTCATTCAGTTATTTCCCCCTTTCAATATTTGTGGCTTTGGCATCCTCCCCCCCCTGCAAAAAAGGTAAGGACAATTGGATTTTGGTTGACCAGCTGCTCCAAAATAACCATTCTGGGAAGAAAACTAAGATTAGGTATGAGTAAAAGTGGTTTCCAGTCGATTATGTAAGAAAGTACATACAGTGTTTTCCCCAAAATAAGACCTGGTCTTATATATTTTGTTTTGCTTCAAAAGATGCATTTAGGGTTATTTTCAGGGAAACACGGTGTCAAGGTGATGGTGAGGGACTGCCCCCCGGAGGGCTGACGATCTTAACTAGGGCTTATTTTGGGGGGTAGGACTTACATTATGAACATCCTGAAAAATCATGCTAGGGCTTATTTTCTGGTTGGGTCTTATTTTCGAGCAAACATAGTATCAATTATTTTTTACATTTTCTGAATATTTCTTTGGTGAGTTTGAAAATGCACTTGGAAATACACATTTTGAAGGTAAGTATTTTTGAATGATGTAGCACCATTTCTAGGAATATCCTCCCGCCCAATCCCAAGAATATAGTATATGATTATTCCCAGGCAGAGTCCATTCTTTAGAGCAAGTGTCTGAAACATGCAGTTTCACATATGGCCTTCACGCTCCATGGTTATGGTCTACGGCAGGAGTCTCCAAGCTTGGCAACTTTAAGACTTGTGGACTTTAACTCCCAGCATGGCTGGCTGAGGGATTCTGGGAGCTGAAAGTTCTTAAAGTTGCTCCTGGTCTACAGAACCCTTTTAATCAGTATTTCTTATAATTAATGGCCTGATTTCCTGCTTTGTTGAGACAGAAAACCACTGGAAAAATCTACTGAGCTTGACATAAAATTTGTGCCTTTGTATCTCTTGCTTACTTCAACATCAGATTTCATTTGAATTAAATCCGGATAAATAGATTTTGATGTCAATCATACAGTATATGATGTGACAGACATCCTTGAGTTTGAAGGAGATACTTCTTTAAGGAGGCCTCTGCTTTTGCCGGCTTGTTACCTGAATAATTGCACAAATCCTTCAAACATCAAAAGATACTTTAAATTGAATAATTTTCCTCAGCTTTGCATCTGCCAGTTCTTCCAAGATTTCAACTTGTCCGAGACTATTTGAAGGACAGAGGGTTGAGGCAGAACAATTCAATGGACTATTAAAAGACAATTTTTCAAAGCAAGCTTGTGCAAACTGATCAGATAATTGCACACTTTTCTATCATTTTAAGTGAATATTCTTAGCATTATCCGGAAGCTTAATCTGTATGTTTTTTTTTTTTATGACTGTTTTCTAAAATTAGGCTGTAAGCTGTTTTGAATTGTTAAAGAAAAAAAATAAAGAAATAACCCCCCTTCAAATATCAAACCTTTGTTTGACAGAATATTTCGCAAAGGCTGAAGCACACTTCTGAAATTTTGACTTCCCTAACTGGAACATATAGTGTCTAAACTTACTTAAGATGTCAGAAACAGCTATACCATCCTGGGTCACACAAACAGGCATCACATATTCTGCCACAACATCCACCATGCACATCCCATTGTAGTGTTTTTTGAAGTGTCCTTTGAGGCACCCTGCTATGGTGCAGATAGAAGGATGACGTTTATTTGGCATGAAAAATGATTAATCATAAAGACCAAATTCATTCATTGAGCAAAACTATATGCGTAGGAGGCTGACTCTATGTATTCGGGGTTCATGTCTACAATTCTTCAGAATACAGTATATAGTTATGGTAGCATTTGGTCATAAATGTGTAGAATTTTTACTTTTCAGCAATTCACTGAGAAATTTATGAGGTTTTTGTTGTTGTTGTAGGTATGCAGGGTTTAAAGAATGGGCTTGAATTATAGAAGGCTTTGGTGGTCGCTGAAGAAGCAAATCAAAACTATATCATTCTCATCTTCATCAGATAAATTTCCATTATTTCCTGGTAGACAAGGGCAATACCGTGTTGCTGGATCACAGGAATATACATTCTGTTGCTTGCAGAGGCTGTCATGTGCTCCATAATGTTTCCTTGGCACAAGCTGTAAGACAAATGAGCAAGAGACTTCTGACTGCATAAATCATGAAGAAAAATTATACTTCAGCTATGATGCTGGCATAGGGCATAGACATGATGGAGCATCTTGAATGCCTACAGCCTGGATATTAAACATCAGACTCAGAGGCAAAAAGAACACCTGCTGTAGTACTAGTCAGTACAGGTAAGTCCTTGACTTACAACCACAGTTGAGCCCCAAAATTTCTGTTGCTATGTGAAACATTTGTTAAGTGCATTTTGCCCCATTTTACGACCTTTCTTCCCTCAGTTATTAAGTGAATCACTGCAGTTGATAAGTTAGTAACCTGGTTATTAAGTGAATCTGGCTTCCTCGTTGACTTTGCTTGTCAGAAGGTCGCAAAGGGTAAGTCACATGACCTTGGGAAACAATAATGTTCATAAATGTGAACCAGTTGCCAAGCATCTGAATTTTGATCACATGATCACAGGGATGCTTGAAAGGTCCTAACTGTGGGAAATGGTCAAAGGTCACTTTTTCAGCGCGATTATAACTTTGAATGATCACTAAATGAATTGTTGTAAGTCAAAGACTACCTGTAGTTCTTCAAACCAGTGTGACTCCAGGAAAAGGTGTTGCTTCAAACACTTTCCTACCTTTGTATAGAAATCATTAAACTCACTTGGATGTTAAGCTGTCCCAGTATTATGAACGGAACGGAACGGAACGGAACGGAACGGAACGGAACGGAACAGAACAGAACAGAACAGAACAGAACAGAACAGAACAGAACAACAGAGTTGGAAGGGACCTTGGGGGCCTTCTAGTCCAACTCCCTGCTTAGGCAGGAAACCCTATATCCATGATGGCAAACCAATGGCACACGTGCCAGAGGTGGCACGCAGCGCCCTCTCTGATGGCACATGAGCCATTGCTCCAGTTCAGCTCTGATGCACATGAGCATGCCTCCCGCTGGCCAGCTGGTCTTTGGGTCTCTGTCAGGCATGTGTGGGGGGAGGGACGCATAGGCAGTGGGCGCACACACATTGCATTTTGGGAGTTCAAGCACGCGCTTTGGGCACTTGGTCTGGAAAAGGTTAGCCATCACTGCCCTATACCATTTCAGACAAATTGTTATCCAATATCTTCTTAAAAACTTCCAGTGTTGGAGCATTCACAACTTCTGGAGGCAAGTTGTTCCACTGATTAATTGTTCTAACTGTCATGAAATTTCTCCTTAGTTCCAGGTTGCTTCTCTCCTTGATTAGTTTTCACTCCTTGATTAGTTTCCATTAGCGTATGGCTTTGTTACAATAGCCAGGAGACCACAATGCTATTGCAGAGTAATAGTTTGGTTTGCCAAGATACCAGCCCTGTTATAGGAAATGCTTGTGTGCTTCTCAAGGTGAACCACGGGAGGATAAGCTGGCTTTGCACCAAAGAGAAAGATAAGAAGCTCTTCCTGCAGTGTCACTCAAGAGCTGCCTTGCAAATGAGCGCTACAACTGGGACGGTTCAGAGCATCAGGAATCTGACTGACTGAACAAAGCACCAGCTTGTCTCCCCACCAAAGTGGTACCTATTTATCTACTCACACAGAACATATTTTCAAACTGCTAGGTGAGCAGGAGCTGAGGCAAGTGATGGGAGCTCATGCTGCCATGCAGTGCTAGGGCTCAAATCGTTAGAGTTGGGTTACCAAATCTTATTGAATAAGACTTCAATTTCATTAATTTTCAAAACGATAGTACATAAGATAACTTGAGAACCTTGAAAACATTGTCAGACGTGTGATGCTCCCTTCTTTTATGCATAATGACAGTCCATCCTTGGAATAGTCATTGTTATTGCTCTCACAACCATTATATTTTCCTGTATTTATACAATTGGAACAATTTATGCTACAGTCATTTACTAAATTGTTCTCTAGGGAAGTTGAAATGTAAATCCATGTATGTCAACATGGTTTTAACTACCAATTCCTAAAGGTACATTGTTTAAATTGTATGTACATTATTGCAATTCACCTGTAAAATATACAGTAAACTAGTCTGGACTATAATAATAATACTTTATTGATTAGCCATTAGGCTATATTGGAATATAAAATACAAAATACAGAGCAGTAATAAGACCATATCTTGAAAAAATATAAAAACACATAAGCCAAAAATAAATAAATAAATGCAAATCATTATTTCTATGCCTCTCCTACTGATCTGCATTAGTTTTGAAGGACAATGCAGAAAACTTTTTAAAAATATTGCAATTATTATATATTTAAAAGTGGGACTGGGGAAAGAGATCAAAGCCCAAGGTCATTGTATAAAATATACAAAAGTATGAAGGCTATTGCTTAACGCATTGTAAGCCACCCTGAGTCTCCGGAGAAGGGCGGCATATAAAAATAAATAAAAATTAAAAAAAAATTACAAAATATATTTGTATTAAAAGACCAGTGGTGGGCTGCCCCAGTTTGGACCGGTTCGCAAGAACCGGTAGTAAAACCAGCAGGAGGCCCCGCCCCCCGCCCCAGATGTCATCAACAGCGATCTACGCACACGCGGAAGCGATCCCGTTGCGAACCGATAGTAAAGGTAAGTAGAACCCACCCCTGTAAAAGACAATAGTGTGAGTTTCTTCTCTAGTATTTCTCTAAATCTTCCTCTAAGTCTTCATCCAGCCTTAGCTTATCTTTACCTTTGGGGGCAGGGGGAAGAGACGGGTGGGGGGAGAAGGCTTTAGTTTTTTAAAAGTATCAAACTGCAACATTTCCCCATTTTTGTTTCTCTAAAAGGCTAGTGAGCTTATGTGGAGCTCAAGGACATCCTAAAGAAAGATGATGCAAAAAGCATTCCAGATCTGAATTGAATTCAATTTATTTAGTTATTTTCTTTTTTAAAAATGCAGCAGGCCAATGCATTTTGAAAGGAACAAGAGACTGACTAGTTTTGTCCTGGTGCTTCACTGGTTAAAGTACTTTTTTGGACACTTCCAATCTTCCCAAACTGAAAAGCTTTAAAAAAAAAACAAAAACCAAAATCCCATCAGCTTTATTCCCAAGTATGACATGTCCACAAATATATTCTTGCTGATCATCACAGAAGGAACCCAGTAAAGTGTTGAAAGGAAGAGGCTAAGGTGGTCTTCTTAAGTGAAGACTGGAAATCTTGGCTTCTCTCCTTTCATCCAGTGCATCTTCATCCTGATGCATTAAGAGAGGCAATTCGCCCATTTTCTTCTTTACACGCTACATTCTTGTTTAGAGAACAGTATCTCATCCAGTAGGAACTGTGTCAACAGAGATGTAAGAAGCACACACTCTCTCTCTCTGATGGCTTAAACTTGGTTGAAGCTTCCCAGCATGGATGTCAACAGATGAGAGTCAAAATCAACAAGATGGCAGATGGAGCATCATGATTCCAGTCATGTCATTTTTTTCATGCATGGGGCATACAAAGAGATGGAGCTTGCATCACACACTCCATGCCAATTTTATGAACGTAAGAACAGAAGCAGTACCCTGCTGGGTGCAGATTGGGCCTCATCAAGCAATCTGTTCTCACACTGGCCAATCAACTGCACAAGGAAGCCCATTAGTCTTCCAGCAGATGGCCTTCAAAGCCAGTCAAGGCTAATAGCTATTGATCTCCAATGGTGCTTCCGAGACCCTCTATAGTCTACATAAGTCTGCAAAGAACCTGTATTACACATTAAGAGCAAAGCCACTTCATTGAACTGATTGCCTTTCGTAACAGAAACCATGACTTCTATAACTTGGTCTAACCTCTTTTTCAAGTCAAAACATATATATATGTTTTCTCAGGTTTTCGCGGGTGTTTGTATGTAGGTCTTTGGTTATTCGGGTCTTCTCCCACGTAAAATTGGAAGTGTCTTATTGACAAACGAGTCCCTAACACGACGAGTGACCCCAGACCCACACTCACGAGTGCCACACCTGATGTCACCACCACACATCCATGCAGAAAGCAGACTCAAACCCACACTGATAATGAGCCACGACCAAGGACCAGAAGCCAGACCGCAGCTGCATCATTAGCCACTTTAAACCCCTCCAATCCATACATGAAGCAGACTGACACCCACCATGAAGAGCTCGCACGGCCACAAACACGAAGCCAAACAACAACAACAACGCAGCTCACCAGCTCAAAACCCCCTGCAACTCAGACTAAGCTGAGCACAACCAAGCCCCCGCCCAAACAGAACACAACCCCAGCCAATCAGAGCACAGCCAAGCCCCTAACCAATCAGAACACACATCCACCCAATCAGAACACAGCCAAGTTCCCACCCAATCAGCTCACACCTCCACTAGCAGTTAAAAGGAAGAGACAGCTGCGATCTCACATTGCTCCTGGAAGCACGAAGCCGAGAACACCAGCCTGAAGATGACGAATGAGAGTTCATCGAAACGTCGCCAAGACACTTCCAATTTTATGTGGGAGAAGACCCGAATAACCAAAGACCTACATATATATATATATATATATATATATATATATATATATATATATATATATATATATATATATATTGAGGGCACTTGATTGGTTATCTGAAAGATGATAAGCTAGTGCTGAATGTGCAAAATTCCTACAACAAAACAACAAGAAAAGAAGAAGGTTAGTGTGGCAATTAACCTTGAAATGGGTGCTAACATTATTAGGGAATATATTCAACACGGGGGAAGAATAGGAAAGCATAATCAATGAACTGAGGTTAGAGGTTAGAATAGAATTGATTAATGTAGGTTATGTAACCAGCAATTTAGCATTCCTTGAAATGTCACAAAAAGTATGGTAGGCAGTATTCTAGTTCATATCCAAGTTCCTGGTTCACCCCTCTCTATGCAACTTGACAATTATCTTTCAGTGTAATCTTTCCTGGCTGTGCGATGCCTCCTTGTGCAATGACACACACACATATACAAAGAAAAACTACTACATTTTTTCATTGTTCCACTTTTCTACTTTAAAAGCATTCAGTTCATTTTAACGGTA